ATATATATATACTTGACAAATTTTGGACACGTATATACCTTTGTTTTTTCCAACAAGTGATTGCCCTCCCTCTTTGGGAGCGAGCGGAATCGCCATCCATGTTAGGAGATCCAGTAACTAAGGAGATGAAGACCTCCCTTTGCATCGTGTATTTGCCAAAGGACTTGGTAGTATTTCTATGGCCTCGTTGGAATTGTTTGGGTGTACTTTATTCTCTTGCTATTTTTGTAAGCTTACAAAAGCTCTCTGTTTTCTGAGAGAGTTTCACAGAGCCTGTTGGAAGATTGATTTCCTTATGTGTCCTTGCATTGTCTGAGAACCAATAACTAATCATGATAAAGTCTGGTCATGTTTAAGCACATGGTATGGGATAGTTCACTCAATAATGTTAAAAGTAAATTCATAAATTACATCAAGCATTCAAACCCTCTAACTTTGAAAAGTTCAACAAAAATTTACTTATTTATGTATTTATTTGGATGTATTTTGAGAAGTAAGCTTGGATACAAGCCTTTGGGCATCATGCTGTGACCAACGTTTTGCAGGTTTTATCAGTTTGTGACAAAAATAAGCAAAATTTCACAAGTTGTGTAGGGATTGGCTTATGGCTAATTTGGCAATCAAATAATAAAAATAAGTCGACTTATGGCTAACTTATTGGTGGTTGTGTTCATCAGGCCATCCCCAACGATCTTATGCAGCAAGCTCAGATATTTTTGTACGGGAATGGAAACGATAGACCTCCTACTGCCATTGATCTCGACAAGTCAGGTTTGAGGGACTTGTTATTTAACCAGAGCCCTGCTAAGGTATGTGTTTTAAATACTAGTGTTTTGTTTTTGAGATCAGAACTCTTTTCATTTTTTCTCTCAATCAATTACAACCCGAAAGCGAGCTTCCCTTTTCTTTAGCCGCTGTAAATGGGCAGTCTCTTGCTTCTTTTTTGGTTGGTGGAGAACATTAGTCTTTCCCAATTATGGTCAATTATTGAAGTATTGCACTTCTCCTGAAGAGACTAGGCTACTGTTACCCCGTTTTAAGGATTGAATGGTTTTGTGAGCATCTTAGAATCAGATAAACTCTTGACAACTTGTGAAACTGATGGTCCCATCGTTTTTCTTTTATACACACACGCACCAGCCCCAAGGCCGTCCCCCCTTCCTGTGTGTGTGTTTCAGTCTCTCTCCAATCAGGATCTTAGCTGTCTATTAGACATAGAGAGAGAGAGAGACACATTGACCCCACCCTTAAATGTTAATTATTTCTCACTTGGTTTCTTTGTTTCTGTTCTTGAATAGGACATTGCCCTTGCCTCAGTTTCCATTAGGCCAATTCCCTTTCCACCAGTCCTTGAGAAACTTGTCTTGACACCAGAAAACTACGGCTCTGTTCGCCGATTTTTCGTGGAAACACAAGAAGACCATGCCATACCCCTCGACCTTCAACAAAGCCTCATAAAAGCGAACCCTCCTCATAAGGTTTTCAGGCTCAAGGGAAGCGACCATTCCCCCTTCTTCTCAAAACCCCAAGCTCTACACAGGCTTCTCGTTGAGATTTCAAAGATTCAGTAATCGAATTCTGGTGTTGACTGCCCCGGAATCCGTAGTTTGTTTTGCTGACCCTCTGACCTTGAAAGAGAAAGTGCAGAATGATCCATGTGAATAGAAAAGTTATGGTCATAAATGGCAGCGATAGAGAGAGGCGCCCATATCACTTGGGTAATGTCCCGCTTTGTGGTTCCGTTATCTACATCACCGTCCACCTATTGATTGGATGGTGATAACACTTGTGAATACAGTTTTTGTATTATCATGTGGATCAATGTGCTTTCCACCATTAGAAACCCGAATTGAAATTTAATTAGTTGCCCTGAAAGCCCTGGTCTTTCGGCAACCCACTTGTCACAAATAATTTACGTTTGGCTCTTGGCTCTTGGCTCTTGCAAGAGGGGATGGGTGGTCATGGTCAGCTCATGCATGGCATACACATCATGTATTGGCAGTGCCTCACTATCTTATAAACCATTCAATGCGTGAAATAACTTGTGCGTCATTCCGTTCATGGTTTGGCCTGACGCATGGGTCATTTGGTTAATTGGAGTTGTTTTTTTGGGTAAGTTGGTTAATTGGAGTTGAGCATGCATGGATGCATGTGTATGGATTCTAGATCCATGGAGGTATGTATGCACACACCCATGTATGGGTTTCTATGTATGATGATGGAGGTGGTCAGGGCTGGAGGTTGTAGAATTCATCGGAAATTTTTGAGATAAATTCATTCCTTTCTTATTTAACTATTATTATTTTTTAGTATTTTGACATTCATAATCTGCTTTCCTCTTCTTCTCTCTCTCTCTCTCTCTCTCTCTATATATATATATATATATATAATGCCATAGGGAGAAAATGTAGTGTTTTGCCCCACAACGGCTCTCATGTTTTTCATAGAGCCATTGCAGTTTTCTGTGTTTTTCGCGTAGAAAATTGACTGCACCGGACCACAACGGATATAGCATGTCCGGCACGGTTGATTCTATGTTCGTTACAATCGATTTATCCACATCGTCCAAAAAATTCAGATGGTGCCGAGCTTATGGGTGAAACACTGTTCTTTTTTGCCCATAAGCTTTACGTCGTGGCTTATATATATAGGAAAAGTCTTCTTAATGTCTGTAGGCGAAAATGAATAGTGATTTCGTCTATTCTCATCACCGTTTAAATTTTATCGTGTGGTCACGATTGTTCGTAGTATTTTTTTTTTTATTTTTTATTTTGTAAATCAAAATGATTTGAAATTAAGAGAGCATATATATCTTATTGAAGCGCATCTAATCAAAATATAAAAAGAATTATCCGTGAAAACAAAATTGGTAAAAATACCCCTGAAACTTTTTGAGGGTATTTTGGTCAATTGTTTTCATGTAAAATATTTTTTTTTATATTTTTTAAAGATTCCCCTATTTTTGATGAATATACGTTCCAAATTTCACGATATTCTGAGTTGTAGAAATAAAATGGAAAATAAAACATTACCGGCCAATCGTGATGGCGTGATGAATTTTGGACGGTGATGAGGGTAGGTGAAATCATGCACCTATAGGCGTTGTGTAGTATTTTGCATATATATATATATATATATATATATATATAGAAAAGTTTATATAGAGCTGAGGCTCTAAACAGTCAAATTGGAGCCTACCTTAAAATTTCATTATAAGAGGTTTTGATGCCCAAATATCCTCAAGTTGATCGTCTCTGACATCAAGATGCATGGACATGAGAAAAAAATGAATTTCAAGTTTCCAAAATAGTACATCTTGTAACTCATTTTGGATCGTCAATTTTTAAGTTTTCATAGATCTACATTATCTACATTATTTTTGAAGCTTTAAATTTTATAATTAAAGATGAAAATATATTTTAAGGCTATCATAAAGATTTCTAGTATGGAACCATATTTCTTGACACTATTTGAAGGTGGGCTCTAATTTAATTTTTGAAACCTTGGCTATATACAATC